GACTGCATGCATACCCAAGGTTGTACTCTTTGAGGGGCAACATCAAATGCTTAACATTGCAAGGTGGACTAGACTTCACTAAGATAATCCAGCCATTCACTAAACAAACAAACAAGCAAATAACAATAACAAGGGGGAAGAACACAGAGTTGTAATATTATCTAAAATGTTCAGTTTCTGGAAAAAAAATGGCAAGACATGTGCTACATAATGAATTTAATAAAGACTTCAAAGTAGCCATTATAAATATGTTCCAAGAACTAAAGGAAACCATGATTAAAGAAGTAAATTGTGATGATAATGTCATATCACATCAAATAGAGAATACCAGTAAATAGATAGAAATTACAAAAAAAATCAAATGAAAATTCTGGAGATTAAAAGTACAATAGCAGAAATGAAAAATTCACTAGAATGGCTCAGGAGTATATTAGAACTGTCAGGAGAATACTAATTCTTAAGGACTTAAGACTGATCGATAGAGATTATGCTATCAAAAGAATAGAGAGAAAAAAAATGAAGGAAAATGAATGGAACCACAGAGAAAAGTGGAGCACCATTAAATGCACCGACAGATATATAGTGAGAGAACCAGGAGAGGAGGGAAAGGAGCAGAAGAAAATATTTGAAGAGATAATGGCCCCAAACCACTCAGATGTATTGAAAAACATTAATCTACACCTGTAGGAAGCTCAATTAATTCCAAGTAGGATAAGCACAAAGAGATCTACAAACAGATATATCATAGTAAAAATCCTAAAAGCCAAATAAAAAACCTTGAAAGACAGCAAGAGAAAATGACTTGTCACTTTTAAAGGAACTCCAATCAAAGTTGAGTTCTCATCAGAAACAAGGGAGGCCTGAAAACAGTGGAATAATACTATTGAAGTGCTCAAAGAAAAATGAAAACTGTCAACCAAGAATCTTATATCCAGAAAAGCTATCTTTCAAAAATAAATATGAAATAACAGTATCTCTAATAAACAAAAAGTGAGAGAATATATTGATAGCAGACTTGCCTAACAAGAAATACTAAAGGAAGTTCCTTAGTTTGAAAACAAGTGATCTCACATGGTAATCTGAATCCACAAGAAAAAACAAGGGGCACAAGTAAGGGTAATTATGTAATTTACTATGATATATCTTATAATTATGTAATTATAAGACAGTATAAATACAAATTTCTGTTTCTTCTCTTAAAAGATTCTAAAAACAACTGTATAAAACAATATATATATGTACTGCATTGTTGAGCATATAACACATAGAAACGTAATATATTTGCCAATAACACACAAATGAGGTGAGTGGGAGCAAAACTGTATTGGGCTAAAGAAACAACTTCAGTTAGTAACTCGAATCCACAGGAAAAATGAAGAAAACCAGAAGTGACAAATAATGTTAACATAACAAAAGCTATAATATAGACTTGTTTTCCTTTCATCTCTCAGCTCTACCAGTCTTAAAATTATATAAAGTAATACCTATAATAATGTAGTGTTAAGTTTGTAACATTTTTGATGTAATATTATGATAGTAATACCATTAAGAGTAAAAGGGAATAGAGCTATATAGGAGAAATATTTCTATGTCTCACTGCATTTAGTATAAATTTGAAGCTGATTATGGTAAATTAAGATGAATATGCTAAACCTTAGAAACAATAAGAACATAACTTAAATATTGAAAATTCATTAAGGGAAGTAAAATATTTATTTAGTGCAAAAGAAAGCAGTAAATGAGGGATAGAGGAAAAAAAAAGGATTCAAGACATAGAAACAGAAAGTAAATTGGCAGGTGTAAACCTAACCATATAAAAATAAGATTAAATGTGCATGGATTAAGCAACTCAACCAAAAGGCAGGGATTATCGGACTGAGTTTTAAAAATCCAACTATATGCCGTGTTCTAGAGACACATCTTAGATACGAAGATACAAATAGATTGAAAGTAAAGGGATGGACCAATGACTCCTCTTCTGGATATTTATCTGAAAATTCTGAAAACAATAATTTGAAAAGATATATGCACTCCTATGTTCATTGCAGCATTGTTTAT